TTTTTTTTTTTTTGGTACCAGGGATCAAACTCAGGTCCTTGCGCTTGCAAGACAAGCGGCAGAACCACTGAGCTACATCCCCAACGGCTATTTTTAATTTTTTACAAATTTTCGATTTGTGTTGGACATGATGGTGCATGTCTGTAATCCCAGCATTTCCGAGGCTAGAGGACCACGGTGAGTTCAAGGCCAACCTGAACTACCTAAAGAGATGTGTCTCAAAAAACAACAAACATTTTTTTCTTTTGAATTTGTGACCTTTCTGCCTCAGCTTCCTAAAGTGCTAGATTTACAGACATGCACCATAACACCAAGTTGGAAAAGTACTGGCAAATACAAAAGGTCATCCAAAAGGGGAAAGTCACTGAGGCTAAGAATAAAAAAGAAAAGCATTGGTCTATAGTTATTTAAATATAACAGATAAACACTAGAAGTTAGAGGAAGAACTTAAAGAGTGGGTTTGAGTGGATTTAAGGGTGTGTGTGAGGATAGCCTTGAATGGATTCCACTTCCTACTGAGTTCTAGCAGTCTGTGGTGGTGGAATGCTAGATTTCTAGATGATTGCTTCCTTGCTTAATACCTGGAAAGCAATTCAGTGAGTTGAGATACCTTTCCTATTTTTAGGACCAAACTAAAGAATGGGGGGGGGAGGATCAAAGGCTATTCATCAATAATAATTTAAATAATCGAATATCATTTTACAATATGATAGTGGTCAGTTTCAAGAACTGAATGCTATTTCATATTATTGCATTCTGTTTTTCAACTTCATCTTTTGAAATTCTGGCTACTCTTGGGGCTCATTTTCCTTTTTTTTTTTTTCTTTTTGGTACCGGGGTTCGAACTCGGGACCTTGTGCTTGCAAGGCAGGCGGTGGAACAACTGAGCTAAATCCCCGGCATCATTTTCTGCAGTATCTACCTTAAATGGCGCAAACATTGCTACCACGATTTTTCCTTGACAGTCGCTTTCCTTTGACTGAAAGCTAATTCTCAGTATGTTTTAAATATTTTTTTTCACTTGTTATTAAGGTTTATTATAAACATGCAAAATCCATTGCATGATGCATTTGCAAAACATATTAAAATCCTTCTAACAGGAAAACATCTTTCAGCTGATAAATATCCAAGTGTCCTGTTCTACAGCTTCAGGTGTGTCATTCAACACAACTGGAAGTGGGAACCCAACCTGTATTATTTTTCATCCCGAAGTGGATGTCAAGGGCTGGAGAAGAGGGGAAAATAAATCAATAGGTACTGATGTTAAATATTTTTTTTAACGAGGTCTTCTATATTCGCAAGAACCACCTCGCTAATTTGTAAAAATGTTTTTTTTCAGAGATTCTGATTGTGTAAGTTTGGGGAGTTGAAACTCAAGTTTTCGTTCCAGCCCAGTGGCCCAAAGCCTAGCCCTTGAGAACTTCTCTGTTTTTATTATTTTTGCAGCTTTCAACGTATTAACATGAAAAGTCGAAGCTGGAGAGTGGGACCTCCGGGTGGGTGTCAGAAGACACAATACTAAGCGGCCCACGTTTGTGCCAAGTTGCGAGCAAAACTTTCCCCTAGCTTTGTAGCTCTGCCCCTGGGAAGCCTCCGCGCCTGCTCGGCGACGAATCAGCCGCGTTCAGCCGCTTCGATCCCCCTTGCCCAGCCGACCCTCCGACAGGCCGGCGCTCCCGCGGGCGGCTACTGACAAAGCCCTGCGGGCCCCCGCCGCGCGCGGCGGGCGGACAGGGGCCCGCGCTTCCCGCCGCCGGGCTCCGCCTCCCCCGACCGCCGGGCTCCGGTCCTCCCGCAGGCGCCCCGTGCCGCAGGTCTTGGCGCCAACCGGGTGGCGGCGCTGTCCGCCCCGCGCGCGGCCGCCTTGGGCCCGAGGGAGGCGGAGGCGAGGCCGGCGGAGGAAGGGGAGGGCGGGAGCGCGGCGCGCGCTGCTCTCGCGTGCTCTCGCGCCGCTCGCGTGACCGGCCGGTGTATTGGCGACGCGCCGGCTCCTGGGGGCACGGGCGGCCGGGGCCGGGGCCGGGACCGGGTCGGCGGGCGCGGGAGGCCGCGCGGGGTCCCGGCGGACACACGCGCACACGCTCCCGGAGGAGCCCTTTCCGAGGCTGCTCTTCCGCGGCCGGACGGAGAGCGGCAGTGTCTCCCCGCCCAGCGCACTCTCGCCCCGCGTCTCCCCCCGCGGAGGCGGCGGCGGCGGCGGCGGCTCCTCCTCAGCACCGCCAGCCCCAGCGCCGCTCCGGGGCGGGCGGGCGGCGGGACCCGCGGAGCCGCTTTGTGTGCAGCCCGACGAGGGGCGGCGGCGCAACCAACCACCTGACAGAGGCCCGGGCGCTCGATGCACCTTCCGCCCGCATGAGGAGGTAAAGGCGGCGGCGGCGGCAGCTCGGCTCCCGCCCTCGGCGGGCGCAGGGAGGGGACGGGAGGCGGCGGGGTGAGGGTAGGGGTGGGGGCGGCGCGGTCCGAGGCCCGCGGGGTGGCCCGGGTGGCGCTCAGGCCTCAGCGCGGCGCCGGCGGCCGCGGGCAGGAGAAGCCCCGGGCCCCGTCACCCGAAGTTGAGGGAACAAAATATGAAGTGCGGCGCCGCGTCAGCCGCTTCCTGGCATGGGGTTGGGGGTGCAGGCGGCTTGTTTTTCCCTCGCGGGCGGCGGGACCGGGTTAGGGGCGCGCGCGGCGGGAGCTGCCGGGACCCGGATCCCGCCCGGATCCTGCGCGGGGGTCCGGCTGGGTCTCTAGTTTTGCGGCCTAAGCTGAACCCTCTAGGCCTCACGTCTCCTTTCCCGGAGAGGACCGGTCGGGTGGGGACTCGGTGCTTCTCTGGGGCCGAACGGGGGCCTCGGGGTTCTCACCGGCCTCGCAAGGCCGCTCAACTTTGGACCTGGTTCCTGGCGAGCGGATTTCATTGTGAAAGGCGGACTGGGAAACTCTGGGCGCGCTCGGCGCCTCCTGCGGTCGCGGCGGCCAGTGCTGGGGAGCCCCGCGGGGCCCGGGCGGGCGCGGGCGGCGCTGATGAGGTCCGCGCCCCGGGAAGGAGCCGGGTGGCCAGGCCGCCGCCGAGTCCGGGCCTCCGGGGAGAAAAGGCCCTCTCCACATTAGACATTTTTTTTTTTTGAAATTAAAAAAAAAAAAAAAAAAAAAAAGAGGTTACAAAGTCGCCCCTTTCTTGCTGAACTTTGGTTTTCTGACCGATAGAGGCCGGTAGAGGACCGTGAAAAAAAAGTTGTCCCCTAGGATGGACTTCACCGCGCAGCCCAAGCCTGCCACTGCCCTCTGTGGCGTCGTGAGTGCCGATGGGAAGATTGCTTATCCTCCCGGAGTAAAGGAGATCACCGACAAGATCACCACGGACGAAATGATCAAACGACTGAAGGTCAGTAAGCGTCTGGATACATGGTTCGCTCTGGAGGTCCTTCAGGTGCTTTCTTCTGTGATACTTGTTTTTTTCTCCTGTCGCTTCTGAAAAGTTCCCCCCCCCCATGTGTACATGAATAAAATCTGTAGGGACACAACTATTATGAGAAATTGAAAAAAGTGATTTTTTTTTAATCTTAGTGTTTCACAAACATAAAAATCCATGAGTTTTTAAAGTTGTTTTTTTTTTTGCAAATATTCTGTTTAATGGGAATACTGTTTTAAGTAGCTTGCAACCTTAAATTAGGCTTTTTTTTTTTGGAACCAGGGATCAAACTCGTGTCCTTGCGCTTGCGCAGCAGGCGGTGAAACCACTGAGCTAAATCCCTGGCCCTGTTTTCATTTTTTTAAAAGTTGTTGCACTTTTCTAATATCCAGAAGCTTAATTATGTATACGGTGTGTTTAAGCTTTGACAGGAGGTACTGATTTTTAAAACTCCAGGCTTAAAATGAGATGATTAAATTCAGGTTTGAGAAAGAGCAGTGCAACTGTTTCATAAGGCCTCAACTTAGTTTGGCCTAAGCCTGGTAGCCCTAAGGTGAAGGGTGTATGTTGGTCAGTTTTTTATTTTTCTTTGCACGCACAGAAATGGTGGTCAGAGCCTACCTTTTAAAAGAGTGCCATTCTTATTGTGGGATACTCTTGAAGCAACAGTTCCCAATTAGGGCATCTTTCACTTCCAGGGTATGTTGGAGGCAAGGCCAGAGGCATTTTGGTTGTCACAGTTTGGGTAGGTAAATTACCAGAGACAGTGAGTCCAGCTAAGTAGGGCTGTGATGGTGGGAATAGAGAGACAGGAATGATTGAAGTGTTTCAGAGTTAGAATCAGACTTGGTGGGAGATGAAGGAAGCAAAGTTAACAATGCTTCTACTTTGGACAGGTTGATGAAATGTACTTTTAGGGACTGATTTTTGCACCTTTGCTCTTAGAATTTAATATGGTGACTAATGTATACAATGTTGTGGTTTAAAGTATTCCTGTGATTTCCAAAATTCATTAGATTTTGCAGTTTATTGCTGTTTTGGAAAGAATAAGACACTGCTTCATTAAAACAGAGTTTTTCTGTTTGTTTTGCTGCACTGAGCTTTAACCCAGGGTGAATACATCCCCAGCCTAAAACAAATCTGTGTGTGTGTGTGTGTGTGTGTGTGTGTACCGGTATCAAACGCTGGACCTTGCGCTTTTGAGGCAGGCGATGGCACCCGTGAGCTAAATCAATCCCTGCCGAAAACAAATCTTGATATTAGATTATATATGAGTTGCGGTACTTAATTGATACTCTTTAAAGTTATATTGTTTTGAGTAAGTCTCAAAAAATGTGAAATATAAAGCTATTAAATAAGGAATTTATAGAGCTTTAATTTTTATTTTTTTCAAGTTAAAAATATTGAAACCTTGAATTCTAGTAGAGAATAATATATGAAAAATGGAAAGTTATGACCACATATACATGTTCCACTTGGCAATGGGTTGAGTATCGGAAGTACTATTGACTAGAAGTGGACATATAACAGTCTAGGTTGAGCATTAGGTTAGACTATCTGTTGTGAGTTCTTGAAAAAAAAAACCTGACATTTTAACCAATTTGAATGTCGTACTGCCAAAATTTTGCTGTTCTTTTGATTGCATACTCCTTTTACCTTTCTTTCTGTATGTTTTGATTGTATAGTATTTAGGAATTCCTACTTAGTTAAACTATTACTGTATCATTGGTAATGTGAGGGCATGTGTGTGTGTGGTGCTGGGAATAAAACCCAGGAGTGTGTGCTAAACATGCATTCTTCCATTGAGCCACATGCTTAGCCCCTATTTTTTTTGTACCAGGGATTGAACTCAGGTCCTTGTGCTTGCAAGGCAGGCGGCGGAAGCACTGAGCTAAATCCCCAGCCCTAGCCCCTATTTTTTTAAATATAGATTTTTAATATTTAAAATTTTTGACAGTCCCCCCCCCATACACATACACACTGGAGATCCAGGTCCAGTGGTACTCTACCACTAAGTTAACAATCCTTAGTCCTTCACAGTTTTGTTTTCGAGTCCCCTCGCCCCACTCCCTTTATAGTTTTTGAGACAAGATCTTGCTAAGTTACCCAGCCTAGCCTTTAGCTTGTGATCTTCCTGCCTCAGCTTCCTGAGTGGTTAGAATCCTAGGCTTTTCCTAGGCTCTGCCTACCCTCCTCTGGAACTTTATGTTTCTGGTTTTGTTTTATTTTTGTTTCTGTTTTGTTTTTTGTTTTTTTTGAAATAGGGTCTTGCGATGTAGTTCTGCCTGGCCTCAAACTCTGCAGTCCACCCACCTGCCTTAGCCTTCCGAGAGCTGGGATTACCAGTATGCCACCATGTCTAGCTGTTTGTTAATTCTTCTTTTTTTTTCATTCAGCTTATTGGTATATTTTATTTTATTTATTTTTGGTACCGGGGATCAAACTCTGGACCTTGCACTTGCGAGGCAGGTGGCAGCACCATTGAGCTAAATCCCCAGCCCTAAAAACAGTTTTTTATTTGGTTTTCAGATGAAAAAAACCCAACTCTTTGAATGGTTATGACCATTCTAGTCATAAAAAGCTGAAAACTAATTGTTACTTAGTTAATATAACCTGCAGTTCTATGTTGACAGAAATTTAAAAGCTATACTATTGCTGAGCATGGTAGTCCATGCCTATAATTGCAGCTACTCAGGAGGCTGAGACAGGATTGCAGCTTGGAGGCCAGCCTGGGCAACTTAGTGATCCTCTGTCTCAAACTAAACAAAAAAGAAAACTTGGGGGACAGGGATGAGGCTCAGTGGTAGAATTCGACCAGGGTCCATCCCCCATATGTCTGAATGAGTAAGTAAATGATGTACTATTTAAAAATGTAGGTGTTTGGGAAGTTAGCAGGTAGTTCCAGTACCATGTTACATTAAGCATCACAAATAGCCATTTTTCCATGTAATTGTGGGTTCTGAAACTAACGTAGTAGTTGCATCTGATAAAGTTTTAAACACATTTAAAATACATGTATAGGCCTGGGGGTGTGGTGTAGCTGAGTGGTAGAAAGCTTGCTTAGCACACAGGAGGCCTTGGCTTTGATCCTCAGCACCACAATGACAATCAAACACAAACAGTTGTACCATTTCTATTAAGGGCTTCTACCTATAGTTAGCTGTATCCTAGATCATGTACTTCTAGAGTTATGTGCCACATACATATTTTGATCTTTCTTTTCTTGCTAATTCGGGAGGTATAGTTTGGCCTCTTTGATAGTTTAGTAGGGATTAGGATATAGTGGGCTTGATTTAAGGTAGGTATTTCCTATTCCTCATCAAACCTAGGTTGGAGATGGAAAGACTAGATTAGGAGTAAGAAGCCCACAAATACTTCCCTTCCTTCCAAAAGGGCTCCAAAAAATATTTTTTAATTCCATAAATGATTTTATTTATTCCCGGTTGCCACATAGCATAATTTTACATGTAGTTATGTAATTTCAAGTCTTAAAAAATCTGTTCATATACTTTAACATTTTTTTTTTTTCTTTTTTGGTACCGGGGATCGAACTCGGGTCCTTGCACTTGTGCAGCAGGTGGCAAAACCACTGAGCTAAATCCCCAGCCCTATTTTAACATTTGTATTAATGCAAATGCTTCTAACAATTTTTTTTTTTTTGAGATGGTCTCACTATGTAGTTCAGGCTGGCCCTGAGTTTATTGTTTCACTGTGTAACCTAGACTAGCTTTGACTTCACAGTGATCCTGCCTCAACATCCCACATACTGGGATTACAGGCATGCACCACTATGCTGGGCTGTACTAAGAACTTTAAAAATTAAATGAAGTGCTGGGGATTTAGCTCAGTGGCACCATGCTTGCCTCACAAGCACAAGGTCCTGAGTTTGATCCCATACCAAAAAAAAAAAGTTAAATGGAGTAGCATACCTCTCATATTCTTCCCTCTAGGCTCATTGTCATTTAATTGTTTTGTTTGTTTATATTTACTGTTTTCTTTGAGGCTTTTCTGAGACAGTCTCACAGTGTAATTTAGGCTGACCTTGAACTCAACCTCCCAACTCTAACATTAATTACATTGACATTGTTATGTAACCATCACCAGCAATCTATCTTCAGAACTTTTTCATCTTCCCAGTAGAAACTCTCCATTATGCACTAATTCCCCAGTCTCCTTTCTACTTTGTGTCTCTATAAATTTAGCTACTGTTAAATAAGTGACATCATGAAACATCACGTTTGTGAAATTATACCATTTTTTTCTTGTGACTCTCACTTAGCATAATGTCTTCAAGGTTCATCCATATTGTAGCATGTGTCAGAAGCTCCTTTCTAAGACTGAGTAATATTCCATTGCACGTATATACCGTTTTTTTCTTCATTCATCCCTTATTGTATACTTCTTCCTGAGGGTTTTTTTTTTGATACTGGGGATTGAACTTGGGACATTGTGCTTTCGAGGCAGGCAGCAGAACCACTGAGCTAAATCCCCGGCACCTCACTGGATACTTCTATCTATTGTGAACAATGCTTGTTTTTTTGTTTTTCTTCTTTGGAACCAGGAATCTAATTTGGGGCTTCAAGCTTGCTAGGCAGGCGTTGCACTGCTGAACTAGATCTCCAGGCCAGCAATGTTTCTTTACATTTTTGTGGATCATGAATTTAGGCATGGTTTGGCTTAGATCTGCTCCTTGTGGGTACTGTACTATTCCATTGGTGGTTAAGTTGGTCTGGAGTTTGAGTGTCCAACCTTTCAGCTTGCCCAGGCTGTATTGAATGAAGAGGACTTGTCTTGGACTACATATAAAATAGTAAAATATGAAAGCTGGGCATGGTGGTGCATAATTATAATCTCAGTGCTCTGAGAGGCTGAGGCAGGAGGATCACAAGTTCTAGCCCAGCTTGGGCAACTTAAGTAATTTATCAAGACCCTGTGTCAAAATAAAACAAAAAAGGGTGTGGGAATGTAGCTTA